AGCGGAACAGAGCGAGGCGTGGGTTATTACAGAATTACTCTCCAACAGCACGCCCATTGGCTCAGAGAGGAGAGGACAGCTCAATCCACTCCTGGTGTGTGTGTGTGTGTGTGTGTGTGTGTGTGTGTTTGTGTATGTTTGTGTGTGTGTGTGTTATTTCTTGTTAGCTGTGACTGTAGAGAGAACAGATTCATTACATCACTGTAAAGTAACGAGGCATCATAAACATACTGCCCGAGCGTCTTTCTATTTTTTTTCTGCATTTTTTGTGTCTTTATGTTTGTGTTTATGCCCGATTTTCTTTTCCGTAGTTGCGGTCATTCCTTCAAGTTAAGAAGTACAGTCTGAACTTGGCAACGCTCATTCTGTACGCCCATCAGCTCAGCGCTGCGTTGGCCTACCTRGAGAGCAAACGCTTTGTACACAGGTAAATAAACTCTCAGCAAGATAAGGGTTCACACTGCAGGTTGTTGCAATCAGAGAGGATTAAATAGTTATCTGACATGTTTGTGTAGTTTAGGTATAAATAATGTGTTTTATGATTTAAAGTTGTGGAAATGCAGGCCTGAGCATGGATGTTTGTGTGATTTTAGAGACATCGCAGCGCGTAATGTGTTGGTTTCCACTGTTGACTGCGTGATGCTCGGAGACTTCGGCTTGTCTCGATACATGGAGGACAGCTCCTACTACAAAGGTAAGAAGACATATTAAGTCAACCACACCTGAAATATATTCCTACATGTGAAAGATCCCCTAAACATAGATTTTACCACAGTTTCAGACATGATAGAAATCAAACAGTGAGCAGTGACAACCAGAGATCGGTCGGTTGTTGTTAGAACTTTACCACCATCTGCTGGTGATAACAGGATACTGCAACACGTTTAGCCAGCTCACATCATCTACTTAAAACACACAGCTAATCCTTTAAGTTATTTATAAATATTAGGTTGTTTAAATTGTTGTGTACATTTAAATAAATGCAAATGTTTGTTTGTCTCAGCTTCTAAAGGTAAACTTCCTATCAAATGGATGGCTCCTGAATCAATCAACTTCCGAAGATTCACCTCRGCCAGCGATGTGTGGATGTTTGGTACGTTACCGTTCTGCTTGTTCTGCTCAAACTCAAGAAATATTTCCTCCCACAAGGTCTAGACTTCACATCCACCTAGGGTAAAATGCAAAACAGTTTGTGGTTTGGTGGATAAAAAAATTGAAATTGATGGTTACTAAGTTCAAAAGGTCTTTACCTTCTTTGATTTTGATGTTTGAGCGAAATACCTCAAAAAATGTTGCAGTTTTATAGCTTAAAAAAGTGTTTAAAATTGATTTACATACTAAGAACATGAAATAATTGTTTCCCCCTAAACGTCCCCACCCGCCTGTTTTCCTCTGTAGGTGTGTGTATGTGGGAAATCTTGATGTACGGCATCAAGCCCTTCCAGGGYGTGAAGAACAACGATGTGATTGGCCGAATAGAGAACGGCGAACGGCTGGCGATGCCCCCTCAGTGTCCCCCCACYCTCTACAGCTTGATGACCAAATGCTGGTCGTACGACCCGAGCAAGAGGCCACGATTCACCGAACTCAAAACACAACTCAGGTAACTCGTTYTACAAATGTTCTTCTTTTCTTTCGGTTTTCCCACGTGTCTACATCCAGGAGTAAATTACTTCTTAGAATAAATAATATTCTGCTGTTATTACTCTAGTACCATACTGGAGGAGGAGAAGGTCCARCAAGAGGAGAGACTTCGAGTGGAGATGAGAAGACAAGTCATTGTTCCCTGGGACTTTCCTGGTGTTTCCGAAGCWCCACCTAAAGTATAAGCAGTTCCCTTCTCCCTCCAAATATGTATCTTTTGTTATAATTACATGWTTTTTGTGGACTGTTTGGAGTGATTAACACCAACATACTCTGTTTGTAGCCGAGTCGACCAGGTTACCCCAGTCCACGCACCAGTGAAGGTTTCTTTTCCAGCCCGCAGCACAACCACTTCCAGGTAAACATGTAGACATGATCACAAGCTTATAATAAGAACACTGATTACACTCGTCAAAAAAGCTGATAGATTTTGAATAGTTGGCATCATACTAATCTAAATATCTTTCACTAAATGAAGTGAAAAAAATCAGAACCCTCTGGTGTAGTCAGTCATTAAAAGTCATCCTGTCAWAATAAAAGCTGTTAGCTCTGAATAAATGCAGAACAGTGCGTTAAGCATTTGCCTGCACGTGTCAAAGTCAGACAGAGTTGCGTGAAAGAAGACAAATTGAAGACAACTGAAAGRGCTGAGTTATTTCAGGCATTTCCTGTCGTACTAAAAGCTGCCCATTCATGGACACGCAGACTCTTAATCAGTGCCACACTTCAGCTTTTACAGCAATCAGCTGCTGTTTATATGTTTTACTGTTATTTAAGTCAAGCTTCACATGAATGTATGTCTGACCAAATTAGCTTTTCATAAATGTTATAAAATGCTTTGCCACATAACAGTATTCATTTATTGCTTGTTTGCTTAAAAAAGTCTCAGACAAAACAAGACAGTTTTGTATTAGGTTTGGACATATGTGCAATTAATCGTCAAAAAAACTGTCAGATTAATATTTGCCACTCTGCAATTACTGCGATTAGTGACTTATATAAGTCATTGTGGCRCCATGCTAATGCTAAGCTAACACTCCCTCTAGGTACCAGCTTKGTTTGGGTAAAATTGTAACATATGCAGTTAATTGTCAGAAAAACTGTCACCAACTAGTATATGACACTTGGTCAATAATAGAAGTCCTTGTGGCATTGAGCTAAGGCTTATGCTAACACGTTGCTAGCCTGGTTAAAACCAGCCCGGGAAACTAGAATTGAGCGGAACTGCGTAGTAAGGCAAGGGCTAGGCTAACACGGTGCTAACACAGAGCTGATTCTAATGTTAAGCTAACGCTAACCCTTTAAATTTCCAGGTACCRGCTAGAGTTTGGAAAACCCTTATTGTGTGCAATTAACCACCAAAATAAAACTGTCACTGATTAATATTTGGCACTTTGCGTAAACTATGATTGGTGATTTCTRTAAGTCATCGCAGTGTGGAGCTAATGCTAACACAGAACTAATGCTAAAGCTAAGTTGACAATCTGTATTTGCAGGTAGGGTTAGGGAAAATTGTATTATATTAATTATCAGATACATGCCAGAATTAATCATGATAAAAAATTTTTTACCAATATTGCGCAATCTTATTTTTTTTTTAAGATATCAGTCTCCATACTTTTGAAAGATTATACCGCACCTAATGTACTTATACTTATACTTGTGCTGCTAATTTTCATTGTGCCAAATAGACGAGGACTATAAAGAGAAATGACATTAAGTGCTCATAAATTTTGTTTATTATTTATTTTTCCTTTCTTTCATGTCTGCTCCTCTGTCGATCGGTCCACCGCTAGTCGTCCGTTCATAGCGGTGTCGGTGGAGTCGGAGGCAGCTACCCGCCCTCAGATTCCTGGAATCAGCACCGATCTGAACACACGGCGCTGTGGAGCTCCGGCATGGAGGTACAGGGTGGCGTGGTTTTCATCTGTTTAATAACCGTGTGTGAAGGAAGCAGAGATGGGAAGTGTCGGTGTTGTTCCTGCAGGACAACGGCTGCGYCAGCCAGGCTCTGATGGAGGACAGGCTGATGCAGCAGCAGCAGCAGATGAAGGACGACCAGCGGTGGCTCGAGCAGGAGGAGAGCCTCATGGTAACTCAAACTCTGAGCTTTTCTCCACCAAAAAGTCCAAAACAGACACGTCAAAATAAACTCGTGCGTTCGGCGGGTGTTTTTTCCAGCTCAGTAAAACCTTTCTGCGAGTCTTGTTGTTGCCAGAAGAGCTGCAGAATATCTTTCTCAGATCTTTGAACTCGCTCGGTTGTGCGTGTTTGATTTATGTAATCAGACGCAGAAGTCTCTTTAAAAAACAGCTTTTGCATAACGAGTCTGTTTTTCTCCCCTCTTCAGGTCAGGTTGTTTCTCCTTTCTGATTTTAATGTTTCCAGCCAAATGTAGCTTGATATGGAAAAACTGGAATAAATGAGTAGAAAAGTTTTATTTCTTATCATTCCTTCAGTTGGACATTGTGAGTTCATCATATTTAAGTTGGACATTTATTGTGTTGCTGAACCAAGAAAAAAATCACTCACAGCAGAGTAAATTGACATAAAACTGAAAACAAAAATCAGTCTGCTGACTTAAAAAAAGGACCACTTCTACCATCTGAAAACTAATCATAACAAAAATAGACAAGAGAGTAAATCACTACTGAAAATACTCTTAATGAACTGTTCTTTTCTTTTCTTACATGATTTATTTATAAAGGAGTATTAAATTCCTCATTCATGCCAGGAACCTTTTAGGTAATGCATACTAATGGCTCAGTGTGAGTAAGGAAAATAAAAAAAATATATTAATATAAAAAAAACAAAATCTGCAGTGACAGGAAGATGAAGGACATAAATAATAATGATAAAAATGTAACAGGATTTTTAAATCCAGTGTGCATTTTTCCCTGAAATGTTGGAAACCAGCCTGGTTTTAAAACTCTTTCAAGGTTGATTAAACAAAATTTAAGAATGTGTTCAGGGATGTTTTGTGGCGAAAGTACAACAGATTGATTTAGTTTTGGTGAAAGACACGAGGAAAGCAAAATGAAAACGCGCTGGAGAGGACGGCGGGAGGGAGAAAGGAAGTGGGATTGGCAGGAGCGGCGGAGAGGGAGGACTGGAGGAGTCTGCCGTCGGAGCGAGATTCTCAGAGATGGAAAGAGTGGGAGGGAGAAACAGCCGAAACTTTTCTGTCTCTGCGGCTCAGTTCGGCTTTTCCCTCTCTGGAAAAACCTTCACTATCTGTCTCTTCTGACTCACTTTTTCTTTATCTCTTCTTTCCGTTCCTCCTTGAGTTTTGAAGTTTCTTTTGTACGAACTCTCCTCACTTTTTCCTCTTCTTTCGATGGCCTCTGTGTTAGATCTTTGGTCTTCACATTCTTTTCTCCCAGGATGCATCTCTTCAAGGCGTGCTTCACCAAAACGGTACAGAAACGTTAGGAGAGCAGAATGTTTTATTGCTTCAGWTGTGACATTATGTAAGATTTTATTGAAACACACTTGTTCTTCCTAAATTAGTTGTTAAATGTAATTTATTATATTACTAGAAAGCTGAGTGGCTCGTTTTTATTATTTTGACCAAATTTAAGTCTTGGAAAGCATGTAGTTGTAAATTAACATCAATTTTAAACCTTTTTTATGTTGCTAAATATAAAAAAACGTGTAAAACTTCCTAAACCTCAGTGCTTTTTTGTTTTTTTTTGCGCAGAAAGCAGAATCCAGAAACAGCAGAGGAAGCATCGACAGGGAGGACGGCACACTACAAWCACCGGTCAGTCACTTTACCTGCCTTCATGGCAACATTTGGACATCTCAGGTCAGGAGACGGTTTTATTGCCACTGACAGACAAACGGGAGGAAAACACAGACAGTGTGAAAAAACTGGGAAAGTATTTCTGTTCCTGTGCCTTGAAGGGCACTGCCTACATACCAACTACTTAACCACAGAGCACCCAGGGGAACTTTAAACCCAGCAGATTTTAGCCTGCTTTTCTCTCCAAAGCTCAGACTTTAGTGAGGAGATAATAGGCAGAAGCAACTACGATTCTTATTTTTGTTGTTGTTGTTGTTGTTGTTGTTGTTGTTGTTGTTGTTGTTGTTGTTTTAAATAGAATACATTTTCTTAACCAGAGACTGTCCCCTAGAACTGATATGACATAAAATATTATTGATAACATCACGTTTTACCATCTTTGTCTGCACAGGGTGGAAGTCAACACATCTATCAGCCTGTCGGGAAACCAGGTGAGAAAAACTAACATTTTTAATTATAAATAGTCAAAGCATATTGCAGAAATACAGAGTCATAAGTAAAAGTGCTGCTTTCCTGGTTTAGTTGTTGCGATTGTAAGAAATTAAAAATCTTTGTTTGTAAACTAGTTGTAAGTTATTTATAATTTTGCATGGTTTTTACCTCATAAAGGGGCAATATTATGTGTTTCTCAGACATACATTTAAATACTATACCATTATAAAGT